CGAAGAAAGAACAACCAAGACATGTTGTTTTTGAAAAACTACATGATGCTGAGTCCATCCAGGCGAGTTTAACTTCTTAAAAGGGAGAGCAACATGAACAAGTCGAATAAAACCCAGTCACGAAATCTTCTTGTTGTTAGATTCTATTTTCTCTGTTTCTTCGTGACTATTTCTGCGTTTGTATGTGCGTGCGTCTGTTTCTGTGCATGTTACTTCTATGTTTGTGTGGCTGCATCTTTTTTTTATAGCAAACATTTCATGAATGATGAACTTATTATAGCTGTTTCTTATTTTCACTACGATTTGAGCACGACTTATGCATCAGCTGTAAAGGTCACATTAGAATTGCAAGAGATTTTTAGGCCTCTAAAGCAATTTTTGCCTACACATGGATCTGAGCGGTTCTCCACGTTCTGCTATGGACACGAGGGAACATCTGTTCCAAGGGGCTGTAGAAACTAGACCACCCCACCCAGTTCGCGCGCAGCGCAGCCCAAAGCGATCTCGAGATGATATTACAGTATCACTTAGTGTCAGTAGAGCGACTGATTTGCACTGGAACATGTCGTCTTCAGTTCAAGCTGACTGCCGTGGAGCAAGCGCAAATCGTATGCCCCATTGACAACCGTAACGTCTGTCAAGAATCGCATGTGGACGGCCGCGGGCGACGGCTGTGATGTGACCTAGTTTCGACGGACGCGCGGAACGAAGCGCACACGGGCAGGATAAGGAACGAGGGCAGAAGCCCATAAGTCATATTTGCCCGCCGAAAGATGAGGGAAGGAGGATTAACTCTGCATCTCTGAGCGATTCCACTCAACCATGTGATTAACTCTAGGACGCCCGAGTGCCTTTTTCGCAATGACCGTGATGACCTAGTCGTACGAAAAGTGACCCAATTTAGGATTTTTTTGAAAATTTCAAAATATTAAGTCAAAAATTATACCGTAAATCACAATTGATCCAGACCATAAGAATGTATGACCCCCTTGAATGACAGTACTGAATGCTAGGAATTGCGAATTACCGAAATAAGTGAAAGTTCCTGATGTTGATAGGAGTACTTGGGTAGTTGTTTCAAAGTCGTCAAAGTTCCATTTATTCCCACAGCAGCAGAACCGAAATTATTGTAACAACGCACCGAGGCTGTATACGTGGCTGAAGAAGATTTAAAGATCTCGAAAAATCGCAAAAGTAGAAGTTTATAAAATTAAGCGCACTTCCTGGTTCGAGACCATAAGCCTGTATGATACCCTCGCCTCCTCGCGTCATAAGCATGTCCAGCGGAATTGTTTCTTCAATTATTGGAACGTTATGGTCCGAGTTATCGTAGAGATGGAACTGGAAGGTATATCAACAGAACATGAGAAAAGATTCTTCTTAGATCGTGGAGGGAAGTTCTTGCTTTTTTCGATGCCCAATTTTCAAAAGCTCGCCGCAGTGTTATTTGCTATTAGATTATTAGTCAAGTTTTGTACAATTCTAAATCGCATTTCTTGCTCTATTCAAATACATAATCGGTTCTGCCCTGCAATGATTCCTGGGATTTCTTATAAGGTCGAAAACAGCATGGACAAACGACAGATCCGCACGATTTTTCTTTTCCAATTCAAGTTGAGCAGGAGTGCAACGGAAACGGCCCCGGATATCAACGATGCCTTCGGTCCAGGTACGACGAATCAACGTACGGCGCAATGGGGGTTGAGAAATTTTCATACCGGCGATGAGAGCCTGAAAGATGATGAGCATAGTGAGAATCCACGTACAACGCTGAAGGATATTGGCTCCAGATAGAATATTCCCAGCAGGACGGTTGGCACCCACATGCAGGAGATAGGGAAGTCGAAGAAGCTCGTTAAGTGGGTGTCACATGAGTTGACTCAGCATCAGAAAGACCGCCGTCCGAGTTCGCCTCCGTCTTGCTTCTGCGCAACAGGAACGATCCATTTCTAGACCGTATTGAGACGTGTGATGAGCAAAGGATTCTGTGCGACAACCGGGGACGATCAGGCCAGTGGCTGGACAAGGATTAAGGGCACGACATTTTCGCAAGCTCAAGCAGCATGGAAAGAAGGTCATGGTGCTGGTTTGCTGGTCTGCAGCCGGGCTGATCCACCACAGCTTCATGGATTCGGGTGAAACCGTAAGAGCCGAAAAGTAGTGCCAAGAAGGTGATGAAATGCATCGAAAACTCCAGCTCATGAGCCCGGCACTGGTGATTAGGAAGGGGCCGATTCTACTCCACGATAACGCTCAGCCCCACTTCGCACAACCTACCCTGAGAAAATTGATGGAGCTAGGCTATGAAACTCTCCCGCATCCACCACACTCCCCAGACCTTGCTCCCACAGACAACCATTTCTATAAACTACTCGACGGCTATCTCAAGGAGAAACGCTCCAAAACCCAACATGAACTTGCCGCGGCATTCGACGATTTCATCGCCTCTAGATCTCCGGAATTCTTCGTGAATGGGATAAATAAACTTGTTTCTCGTCGGCAAAAGTGCGTCGATAGTAATGGTTGTTATTTCGATGAATGAAGTTTTGTTTAAGCCGAGATATGTGCATTTGAAGTTTGAGGCACGGAAACGTAAGAACTTTTTTACGACCTAATAATACTATGGTGAAATGAAGCAACATCTAATATTTAGTGTGCTTTTTTCTAGGTTACATGCCTAGGTGCGTGCGGGCGGCGGGTGCGTCGAGCGTGACCTGATAATAGTGGAGAAGAAACCACATTCGGGTTCGACGAGATGTGAAGAAAAATGACGTGGAAAATGTGATTGGACGAGCTGTACGCAATGTGGCTCATTGCGAACAGGTAGCTACAGTAGGAAAAGAACACGTTCAGAGCGTCCCTTCCCCCCAGGGCGATCAGCCTATTGCATTTTAACGTGTGTGTCCTGATTCGAAATAAGCAATCTCTGTTGCATCGTTAATTCGTCTGAGTTCTTGTTGAATTCGGGTGTGGACCTCGGCTCGGCTCGGCTATGCCGTTTTGGAAGCTTTTATTACGTCCTATATAGACCGCTTTTGACCCGTCAGCGTCCTTTGTACTACCTCTGAAGGCCACATTTAATCCTAGGTAGAATCCCAGAGACCATTCTCATCGTGAACTTTATCACGAAAGGAAGATCCCGGCGTCAGCCGGACGATCTGACTGGTATCATATACCGCACCTTTCTTGAGTTAGCACTGACTAGGATCATGTTTGGATTTTGCCTCTGAATCTTTCGACGGTTTTCGACCGTCACTTGAAATCAGGTATGTGTGAGAAGCTGGAAATTAGCGAATCAGCTATTAGTATTAGAATCCATCATGGGAACCAAAAAATCTATAAGAAATGAAACCAGGATCGTGAATAGAAACCAAATTTGTTCCGCGAATAATGCAAACTCTACAGCCTCTACAACGCCTTAAGAACTTATCCGCCTTCAGTGCATGTTTTTCTGTTGAACTGTTTTTCGACCCGACACCGTTCCTTGTGCTACTCTTAGGTGTCACCGGTACATTTCAGAGATATCTCGAGAACCATTTTCATCATTGATTGCGCCTTCATTTTTTTGACATGTTTGCTTCATTCGGGATGCGGCCCATTGAAGGCACGGTTCAGGCTAAAATGGCCACTGAGTTCTTCCCTTAAGAATACTCAGCGGCCTCCATGGGTGGTAGAAGAGCCCTCTCGCTCCCAAAATCTCGACGGCATAGTGGAAGCCCTGTTGCTGTCTTGAGTCGCTTTCTAGCCTCTCGATCGACGTCACGTCAGACGTGCGTTGGGGCAATACAGACTGCAATTATTCCTTCTAGGACCCACACACAATCAGCTGATCGCCGAGAGATGAGGCGAGAGATGGGGCACGTTTTTTCGCATTCTTTTTCCTCTTTTATTCTTTTCATCGCCGCAATCCCTTCTTTAATTTCCTACAACAAAACGTTGAAAAAGATGGGTTATTTTTGCTGTAACTAGGGTTTTTTGTTTAATTATGCTTAGCTCACCTTTTCAGCCTCCAGGAGTAGGAAATCAAATAAGGGATCGCAGCAGGAAAAAGGGTAACAGAGGGGAAAAAATGGGAGAAAAATACCGCCTCATCACTCGGCGACCAGCTGATTGTGTGTGGGTCCTATAACGAATAGTTGCAAATTGTATTGTCTCGACACTCGTCTGACGTGGTGACGTAACATAGATCGAGAGGCGGGAAAGCCATTGACGTTTCCGCCCATTGAAATATCGCGAACTGTGCCTTTAAAGGTCCTCGAAATAGGGTCACCTCTGAGTCTGGCATACAGAAGATAAAACCTCTGAATCCTTATTACGCCCCATGATCGGGCATTTTCTGTCTAATAATGCTGCATATACCTCACTTGAAGACCGCAGATTTATCCTGAAGGGACAACTCTGGAACAGATTTTAACGTGAGCTGGCCTTTGACCCGATGTGCACATCCCCTCTAATGTCGATCGCACCAAAAACTTTGTTCTTTACGAATTTCCGTGGGAAAACTGAAGGTAGAACAGAACAATGGTACCAGTGCCGTAGCTTACCTGGTATCCTTCTATTGGATCCAACTCAGCGTCTCCAACTACCAGTTCGAATGCTATAGCAAAACTTGTGGTTGTCACATATTGAAATTCCATTTTTTCCGGAGTTGACCGAGGTCTACGTGAAGTGTGATCCTCTACAATGTTCATGTTGAACACAACCACAAATAGTTTAAATGATTCAGGAAGAGTAAGAGCAGAGGTATCATCAAAGTAAAGTCTTCTGGCGAACAGTGGCTCCTTCGAGGCGAGTCCAGCCTTTCATCTTCAGAAGTTCGACCAAAATGAAAAATTGTCTCCCACTTGTTGGACGTGGACCGCTGAGCGAATAATCTGTTCAACAGCACCTTTGATCTCCTTTCCAATTTATTAGGATAAGTTTAGAAACACGCTAATCTTTTCGAGGTCTTCCTATTTTCTCTCATTAAAGGATCTCTAGCTGTTTAGTGGCGAGTCTATATGGTACAGTAGCGCTCGAAAGTCTTCAGTGAAATGCTTTGACGGTTTTCGTTCATAACTTTCTTCTTAGTAGACCAAATCGCGCAAAATTTNTTTCTCATCTATTGTATTCGGGATTACCGTTCGTACACTTTAGACATGACAGAAAGGAAGGAGATTCTAGAAGGACCATCTGTATTTTCAGTCGATTTTGAATTCATGCTCTTTGGAATATCTGGAACATGACCAGAATGCAGGTTAACAGTGGTAAATATTCACAATACACCCACGCTCCAAATATAGAAATTTCGCCTGATTACTTCCAGTAGGAAAGGAGTTACGACTGGAAAGTACGGCTGAAGAACCATTTCACGGAAGACTTTTGAGCGCTACTGTATAAGCATTTGTTGTGAGTTTGCGCGGGCAGTTGGGACAACGAACAAGCGAACCCGAACCCATATATTCGATTCTGCTATATTTCTTGCGTTGTATACGCCCAAACTTGGCTGATCTCTGTCAAGAAGGGGGAAGCAGCAAGCGCCACTCAAGGCGTTGTGTTGATAGAAACATGCGAAGTTTCTCGATACACGACAGAATCAATCTGGAATTCCAATCCCCGAACGCTAAGCAGCCCAAAACTAGAAAGATAGGGAAGTCATGCGATTTCGTGGTGACGTCCGGACAAAACGATACTGTATTCCTAAGGATTCCTGATAAACAATAGGACGGTTGCCAGCGTGGTAGCCAGAATTACTCATAAGGGCTTTGAACGAAGGCATTGATTCACTCCTCCATTGTGCGAGAAGGGCCCGGTGAACAAGATTGGCTCACAGCACGGGCAAATGTAAATGTTACTGACGCCGCCTTGGGTGGATTGATGATGAAGGGGCAAAAGTTGGCAAGGTAATATCAAAAATTAAGGGGACCTATCAGGTTATTCACATATGCAACGTTTCAGCACACTTTACTCCAAACAGCTAGCGATAAATAGACGTATGATGAAATTGGTGAGGGAGGTTATACTAATGTACAGGGGTATTGTAAAGTGCATAGGGTCGCATGGTCACTCTGGTGGTTGCAATAGCCAAGCAGCTTGCTTTTATACCAATTCGACAATATAAGGTTGAAAACAATCAACTTTGAGCACTCCGCTGTTTACTCTTTTGTTCTTAGATCAAAACTTCTACCTTTTTGACGTAACTTATCGCTAATTTTCAAAACTAAAATTATTGTAAATAAAAATTTACGTGAATATTTAGTGCGAAAGAAATACTCGTCTGTTTCTTTATCCTCCTGTGCACCTTCTCGTGACATCGTTAAATACATCATATACCATGTTCCAGGTTCTAATCCAACGACATAATAACGAATTGTAGAAGGATGGTCAGTAGGATCAGATGGTATCTGAAATAACATCAATTTAGTACTTTGCAAACCCACTTTGCCCTACTACCAGGGTTACTCACGAATCGGGGAATTCCTTGTCAAAATGGCCTAAAATCACTAGCGAATAAGACCGTCTTATGTGCCCTCATGCTTGAGATTACAAGGAAAATCATGGGACAGTACCTACATGAAACATTCCTAGGATATTCCTAGGATACTCACTGTATGACATAGCCAACCAGCCCTCTCCGCTTTTTTTTGAATACAATTTTTTGAATTCGCTACGGAAGGATATAGTAGTCGCCGGAGAACCACTGCTGCTTGCTGTAGGAATTTGGGAGGAATACCGCCGCTCATATTCCCATTAATAAGATATTTCGGAAGCAAAAATCATGAGTGAATGGTTCCCGTTCGATCCAACGTCTTCTGTGTCCTTTCTAACAAACGTTCCCAAAATGGCTGCAGGAGGTTTACCTCTATACATATGATGAAAAAAATATTTTTTCGAATTTTTATCACGATGCCAAGGATAAATCCAGATGTCGGGGAACAGGATGGGGCAGGATTGGGCAGACTCTGTTGATTGATCGATGAAAACTTACATCAAACGATTTCCCAGCATAGATTTCGTTGGTGATCATGTTCACCACCCTGAGCGAAGGTTAAATAATGCTTCTTTTATATATACTGTACATATTTAAAATTCAACTAACTTGTAAGAGTAAAATGGAAGAATTGCTTGCAACTCCTCTTTCAAGTAGCAAATTTTGCATTCCACCTTTACAGACATCCAGGCTGGATACAACAAACAACTGTAAGGAAGATATCCTGAAATAGAAACGCTTCGAGGATCTTCTTATCGCTGTGGCAACAGAAAAGCACTTTTTTCTTTGGGTTAGCTTTAATCGATCAATCAATTACTAGTTCAGTCTTAAGTATGCTCGTCTAGAAACCATCACTGAACGCATCGCTGCTGCAAACGTGGGACACTGCGTCATGAAGATGTATACTTGAAATATAGACCTTGAAAAAAATTGTTTTCTAAAGACGACGGATCCATCAACGAATGCCGGACGAGTTAATCTGCAAAGCACCTTGCGACTAATATAACTGTACTCTGTTGTAATCAGAAATGCTTCTTTTTTCACTGAAGGAATAAACAATCAATCAGAAATCAGCAATGAAGCGGGTTGCACAGATTTTGTTCATTACAACAGGATTTGTAAAAAGTGAACTGCGCGTAAGCTTGTCACAATCAGAAACGTTTTATACGAGTAGGGTACGATAAGGTCCCAAAGTTAGTTCAAAACGCCCATCACAAACTCTCACAAACAAGCTGCCGAAATATTTCAACTCCTTTACACTCTCCCACAAAAGTGACCTTTGAAACCAAATTCTGTGAGACTTCATTTGGGAGCATGTGGTTATCACTAGTACTGGGTGTCCCAAAATTATGGGCGCCAATTCAAGACAATGTAATTGAAGCCACACACATTTGATAACACTATGTGCTTCACACTTCGAACTATCCTCCATGTGCGCGGATAGAGGTCCAGGGTCTGTTCTCAAAATACTCGCACATTGACGCAGGTAGCTACCGCACTTCTTCTAAGCCGTTCTTGAGTCTTGCCTTCTAGAACTCCTAACTGGGACTGCACACCCAACAGTCCTCTTATAATCAGGGACCATGCAGAGAAGACAAATGAGTTAAGTTCAAGAAAGCAGGATGGCATTCCTCTCCGCTAATGAAGTCGAGCACCTAGCGTGGCATCGCTCACTGTCAAGCATGTCTCTGGGAGCTGGAGCACCTTCCAGCTGGGAGGACTACGAGCTGTTTGAGGAAGCGAAGTCGGATTAGGTTTTCATTATGCCCATCAGCGTGCCCTTCGAGTACAAGTCTGCGTAAATTTTCACGCCGGCACCGAAGTAACCACGAACGTCTCAACCTCGCCAGTGACTCCCTCAAAAAGCATCACTTTGCTGTTCTTATAACAACTTTTTGTGTGGGGTAGCCCGTTCGATGTTTATGGCCAGAACGTGATCGTTTTTTTTTGTTGAGTAGTGGATTTTTTGCAAAAAATTTTCAGCGAGGAAACGATGGTGTTATGCGTGTATTCCCTCAAACGAGCTAGTAACTTTCTGCATTTCTGACCCTGCACTGTCTGGTGGGATCGGAAATGAAGCGAGATTTCTGCACACGGCAGTATCAGCAATGAGCTTGTCAATCCACCCACCGACAACCTCGATGAGCCGTGCTCCTTCGCAGTGTTTTGATGGGTCGCCCAAGATCACGATCGACGCACAAACGGACCATTTCAGTAGTCGTATCTTCGCGAACACTGGCCTTTCCACCCCTTTCTGGTATGTCTTTGATTAGATGTTTTTCTTGTATCATTTATAGCCTTCTCTAGGGATGCTAAGCAACCACAACGAACCTCATGGTGTAATTTTGCCCCCTGCATGCCAATGATTTCAAGTAGCATTGAATGTGCCTTGGCCAACTAAAAGATATTGTGATTTTTACACTTTTTTGCCGTACAAGTTTGTTATGATGAAACCGCTTTATTAGGTCGACGTTTCGAACAACTCG